TCTGGCAAGCCAACAGCTCTCAAACAAAGGCTTCTGGGAAAACTCTGCCAGCTGTCTGCGGACCTCCTCTTGTCATCATGTCTCCTGGTTGTCTTTCTCCCTAAAAGCAACACACAGAAACCAGACTTCTTCCTCCTCTGTGTGAGTCCCAGAACTGGAAACGCAACTCTAAATGCCCCTCTCTTTTCTGTGTAAGAGAAGGCTACGAAGAAAGTTCCCATTCCATCCTGTCTGTAAATAGCTATAAAACCCCTGTTCTAGAAAGTCTCCTAAATCATGGAGACAGGCACACTACACAGAAAACAGGAGGCGTGAAGCAGGCAGGCCTGGCTGAGTTCCCCATCTCAGTCTGGGACTCTTGAAGTCAGGAAGGAACTCTTGACAGGTAGACAAAATTCACCTGGATGCTCGGGAGATCTAGCAACCTCTGAGTCCATCATTTGAAGAATTTTAATAGAAATCTCTTTAAATAGATTGTCCAATCATGTTTAGACACAGCCATTTATTCTCCACCAAATCTAATACTAAACAATCTCTGGGTCTTGAGCCTTCTAACGTCTCCCGAGTCACATAAAACTGTGATTAAGTAAACCTTCTGTGCTTTTCCCTTAGACTGGTTCTTGTTGTAGGGATACATTGGGAACAGGAAGCTGGAAGGGCAGTATGTGTTTAGACAACATAGATGATACAGATGCCCAGTATGAGTCAGCTAAATCATGGCTGTCATCAGATATTTGGGAGTCAATGAGTCAGCACAAAATGGCTGACACCAGATGTGTAGGGAACCCCCAAGTAAATGGTGTCGTAATCTGTTCTACAACTATTTTTGGCAAAATGCTTCCTTCTTGTGTATTCTCTACATATGTGGCTTTGAGGTCAGAGACCTTAGCTTTCACCTCTGCCAGCTTATCTATGTTTGTCTATGGCCGTGCCTTTCTGCTCGACTCCAATCAGCTTGTGTGCCAGTCTGTGTGCCTGTCTTTGCCCACCTATGCTCTCTCTCTCTCTCTCTCTCTCTCTCTCTCTCTCTCTCTCTCTCTTCTCTCTCTGTGTGTGTGTGTGTGTGTGTGTGTGTGTGTGTGTGTGTGTGTGTTGGCATGTGCCTGGGTGCCTGCCTACTATCTAGGGTGCTTTTGAGCAAAGTCTATTTTATTTTCTTGTGACTCCCTTCATTTTCTTTCATCTCCCAGCCTCCCATGGCCCCCTTCTTTCCTGGCATCAGACCTCAGACCTCACAGGTTGTCACTCGTGATTTTTACAGAGACAAAAGATATAAAAGAAATGACCAGCAGAAGCATAGACCAGAGAGAGAACTCTGCCTGGAGGAAGCCAGGCATCATTCCAACGGGTTATTAGTGAGACGTATTATTTGCAAGAACTGTTTTTGCCTCAAAGAAACTTTGTACTGGCAAAAGAAATTGGCATTAATACGATATTAAACACATCCAAGCAAAGAAGGCATCCTCTCAAGTACAGCTCCCTGATAGTGAAAGGGTTAAACATGATCTACCCACTTGATACACTTCTGGCTGGTGCTCAGGGTCTGCTGGTCACCCTTTTCCAGGATCCTTGACTCCTTTGTTTTCAGAAAATATTTTGCAACCCTCGTCTTTGTTCTCAAACCCACAGAGGCCAGTTATGTAATTTATTGCAATTTAATAACTTAGATACATAACTCCACAAACCATGGGTGTGGAAAGGCTGTGTCTGTGAAAATGGCACGCATGCTACTTGAGGGCACAGCGAAGACAAGCTACTCAACTTGGTGCAGGCAAGGAAACTGCACAGAACTGGAGAGAGAAACGTCAAATAGAAAGGGTTCTGAGTTCAGGTGGGCTCCATGACATGTTTTATTATTCTTTACTTAAAAAATAAAACCTTTTGTATGATAATATCAAGATGCAGGAAGATTCTATCATCAGACCTCAAACTCAAGCAAAGGGCTTGGGTCTACATCACAGCTTGGAAAACGGATGCAGATTTATGTTTGAACTAAAAATAGAGTTTATGCTTTATTTCCTCCTCTCATTTTCTGCTTTAAAAAAATCCTATTAGCTAAGTTCTAGAGTCAGACCTGACTCGGTGGGCTCTCATTAGGTTAGGTAAGCTGCATCAGTGGGTATCCTCTTCCCTATCGTGACCCCTTTGTTCTTATCCTCGCTTCTCCCTCTTTGACTGGACGTTGAGAGCTCAGCCCAATGCTCTTCTGTGGATCTCTGCACCTGCTTCTACCAGTTGCTGGCACCCAGTACATTCGTAAACGGCCATCCATACAAAGCTGGGCTTTCTGTGACATAGTTGCCTTTGGGTTAACCATGGTTCTGTATAAACTCACAGGCTCAGCAAATTGGAGTTTAGTAAGTACTGTTACTTTGGTCTTTCATAGGTTTCCTCTCTTGGGGGTGGGGTGGTAGGCATTTGTTCACATATGCCCAGGATTAATGTCATAATGTTCTCAGGGGAATTTCCTGAGATGGCAGGATTAGGCTGTGGCTTCAAAGATGCATAGGAACCCCTGGTCCCATGTGGAAGAAGTAGGGGTTGGGGATGGCAGCATGTGCCAGTAGACTAAGGCGAGAAGAAACTGGTTGAAGCTTTCCCATTTGGACCCTTTTTCTTTTATTTTAAATTTAATTTTTGTATGCAATGTATTTTGGTCATATTTTCCCCTAACCAACTCCTCTCAGATCTGTGTCATTTATGTACCTACCCAATATCATGTCCTCTCTCTTTTCTCTCTCTCTCAAGATATGCCATACATATGTCTTCCCAAACAAAAATCAGAACAAAGAAACTAAAAAAAATCAATAAGTAAAAAAAAAATCAAAACAAGAAACACACACACACACACATACACACACACAAATCCCATGGTGTCCATTTTGTGTTGGTTAACTCTGGGCATGGAGTTGCCTTGGAGTGGGGTTGATGCATATAACAGTGGTTCTTCATTTGAGAAACTGATTTTCCCTTACCCACAAGTATCAGTTGTAAATAGTGTCTTGTTAGAAATGGGACTTTGTGTGTCCACTTCTTTGCAGTGCTGGGATGGTGTCTGACTTCAGCCTGTGCAGGTCTTGTCTGTGCTGCCGTAGACTCCATGAGGTCCTATGTGTATCCATCCTATCGTGCTGGGAAACAGTATTTCCTTGCAGTCATCCACCACCTCTGGCTCTTAGAACCTTTCTTCCTCCTCTTCCACATAGATCCCCGAGCCTGTTTAGGGCTGGGTGCTTTGAGTGCTCTGAAGTTTTTCGTTCTCTGCATTTTGCCACTTGGCCCCCTTTCCACCCGTGTTATTTTTACGCAACACCATACATCCATGTATCTACCAGAGGCACACAGGTCAAACATTAACGAATAAATCATAAAAACCTTTATTTTAAGCCCACTGTTTGGTAAGTGTATAATTTTACCACTTATTAAAGATGAAATCAAATTTGCATACACAGGTGAGCACTTCCCAAAGCACCTTGGATTCATCACAGCTTTGATTTTCAATCAGTTTTTTGATTGTTGTATGATCTAAAACCTCTACTCTTGCCAACTTTTTGGCAGCCCCCACATTTGTTACAGAACCCCACCATGGGGGCTATGATCTGGCAGTGAAGAAACTGGTTTAAGTGACCCGAATAGGCTGCGTGAGTACAAGTGGGAGCAGGAGGGGGATGAATGTTAATATCCGGAGGGATAAAGACTAAAGATAGAGGGGGAAAAAGAATGTTTCTCAATACTGTCACAAGGAGCAGTGGGGAGAAAGAAAACACCAGGCAGGAGTTGCCCTTTGCCGGTTGGGTTATAGACAATGTAATCATGTGATCAGCTCCACTAAGTACAGTGAACCAGCAAGAGAAAGCCAGGAACTTCCTGCAAATGAGCTGACTCTGTTTAACCTTATTTCCTGAACTACCGGAAGTACGGTGCCAGTGCCGCCGTCAGTCAATCCCACGTTTGAACAAGATTCTCCTGCCTGGAATTGAGAATTAACAAAACTGTTTAAAAAAAATTCCAAAGCAAAATGCCAAATAAATAAAGATCTCATGAAAAGCAAGGCAGCAGAAACAGTATTACCATTGTGCTAGGGATTACGGATGATCTAGCAATGACTGGAAATACACAGGAGGGGATGGTATGTGTAGGTGGGTTATAAGCCGATAGAGCGCTGCTTTGTATGTATGTGGGCCTCTGCAGATCTGGGCGTCCACAGGGGTCGTGGCAGCCGATCCCCCGCAGATGCTGCAATAGAGCCTCTCCGCAGAGAAGCTCTTCCTGTGGCTTCCCAATCTCCCCGCGGCTCTCCCACTTCCCACCCACACGAGCAGCGCCATTCTTTCAGCTACATCAGTGACTGCGTCAGCCCCACACAGCCCCTGCCTTCACCAAAACAAACCCATTTCACTGCCTCCGCTCAGTTCTCTACCCCATCCCTTCCTGGGTTCTGAGATCCTGCTGCTTAAGATTAAACACACACGTGCATGCGCGTGCACGTGCGCGCGCGCACACTCACACACACACACACACACACACACGCACACATGCACAAATTAATTTTTAAAATCATTTTTAAAAAGGAAGGAAAGAATCAGGCTGTCAGCCAGGAAAAGTTGTTAAACCCTGTCCACTGGAACTTCGCAGCACATTTGCTTTCTTACCAAAAGAGGATTCATCTTGGCCAATGAGAAACAAATGAATATGTAGTGATTCGTCACTTGCTATAAAGCCTTGCCAACAATTCCCACTGCTGTGTTCTCTTCTGTTTTTATAATCAATTAAAAAGGCTCAATCCGTTAGGGGGCCTTTCTCCCTCCTGGAAGTGGGGAGCGAAAGCTAGAGGCTCTCAGCAAAGACCCAGGCTCTTCTGAGAACTGTCTAGCAGGCGGCCTTCTTACAGTAACACTCCATTTTAACGGTTCTGTAATGTGAAATTGACAATGGAACCCCCACCGAAGCCCTCTCAGCAGCCTCACGTGCCCTATATAAAAACGATGCTACTGCCAGGGATAGGTCACAACAGAGATATGAGCCTCAGCAGCTGCCCCGGGGCTGAGAGCAGTGCTCCCCAGTTTCAGGAAGAAATCCACTCCTCATCCTTGCCACAGGCTATCCAGTTCTCCAGTTCCTCGTTTAGGTGAGCCTCAGTCAGGTATCGAGGGAATGATTCCTCCACAGAGAGCCGCGGTAGGTGTCAGCTTTCTGAGAGCTGAATTGTTCTTCCCAGAAGCCAAAGGAAGTCTCGAGTTGGTTTGAATGCTCCCTTGTGGGTGAGCCAGGGACATGGGGGAGGCAGCTCCAACTCACCAGCGTGACACCATTCACATAAGTAACCAGCATCCCCTCTTCGCTTGCAGCAGATTGAAGGTAATGTTTTAAGAGGGTTTTCAAGCTGCTGGGAAATTGCGGGCTTGAGAAATGTTCTTTAAACCTTTTGAAATTCAAATTCCATGTCAGCAGAGATGTTGAAATGGGAACCAGAGGAAGGGACAGGAGATTGACAGTTCACCCATTCACCACAGGCGCCCCTTGCTACCCCTGCCACCCACCAAGCCCTTCAGAAGGGCAGTTGGGTTGCTTTGCTATGCCCCTCCCCGGGCAGGGTGTGGGAAGAAGTCACAAGAGGCAGAGAGAATTGATGTCAGGAATAGCCTCACTCAGGGTCTGCTGATGGGGCTGCATGGCCCGCTAGGTCATGGGGGTGGGGTGCCAGGCTGCTTGGTAGCTGAAGCCAGAAACAAATATGGGTCTAAACCATGGGAATGCAAAGAGTAGCAACTATGCAGTCTTGTAGAGACAGTCTAGGTAGACGCTATTCACTTAATTATGAGAGACCCATTCTACAGGTGTGGTTGCCATCCAAATGGTGATGACACTGGGAAATAAGGTAATAAAGATGACCGAGGAACTCACAAAGCTGTAAAAATGTCTTTTAGCCCAAATAAGTAGATGATAGCTAAATGTGGAAATTCTGAAGGACAAAAGCAGACAAAGGGGTCACCCTACATGGAAGAGGCTGTGTGTTCCCTCGAACAGCAAGGCATGGTTCATAATCTTTTCCCATAAGTGAGTTACTTCTCTATTAACTGGAACCAATCACAGTAACATGTAGCTCATAAGGCTGCCTATTATATTAGATAAGACAACCATTGAAAATGCAAATCCAGTGCCTACTATAAATACTTAAAAGCATGTCAGAAATTATTGCTAGATAAAGAGCAATGTATAATCCCTCCCTGTCAGGTACATTGGTCCTCACTACCCCGTTGCCTTCTTTATTACTCCAGAGAGAGTGGGTTAATGATGCATGGGTTTTCCCCACTACACATGTGTGGAAGTTTCTGAACAGGCCCATTAGCATTCCTATGTACCTGCAAGGATTACATAGATTCCTTACTTTCTATCATTGATTTTTTTTTCCATTTAATTTATCACCCTCCAAATCCTTCTCAGTCTAGATGTCATCTGATATTAGCTGCTGATTGGAGAGAAAGTGGCTGCTCCAGATAAGCTGGCATTAACTTTGGATAAGCAAGAAGGTTGTCTGAAACGACTGATGGATGGTCTGGGTTTGAGTCCAGTCAAGTACACCGTTCCATGATGAGGTAGCAATGCACCAGATCTAGGCTTATCTTGTCTCTGATTAAGCAGTCTGAGAATGGAGTTCATGGACTGAGAAATATAGTGTCTCTTTTTAGAGGGGAAAGGAGAAATAAGGAGACCATCTTCAAACATAAACTTTGAGTTTGTGTTTCAGAAAGGGCGTTCACATGAACACTACAGCGGAAAGAAATGTACAAGGCAAGTTTGCTTTACTTTAGTAACAACATCGCTAAAGTAAAAGTCATATTGTCTAATACCAACCTGGGAGAAATGCCAGTTTCAACAGCAAAGTATGTCATAATTATGTAATTATTTAACACTTTTCTTTGACTAACTCAAGTTGTTTATAAACAGACTGAAAACACCAAGGGAAATAGTTTACTCAAGTAAAGCCAAGTGCTGAATGGCTAACTCTTGACCCACCTCACCGATTTACTATAGCAGTGCCTAGAATAAATCAATACTACCTGTCATCATGGGCTCCATAGAATCCTTTATCAAAGTCCCAACCCATTTGCTATGTGTGAATTTCCCACTCCATAAATAGAGTGCTCACATCGCTTTTCATTAGCCCTCTCAGTAGTGGTCGCCAAACATTCTTTTGTCCACTGCTGCATTTTCTAGAGGACAACTTAGAAAGAAATTCCAAGAGGGAAAGGAATGAGGCCAAATGCCAATTCTTAAGGCAGAGCTCAAAGAAACTGAGGTGTAAAGGAATGGTATTTGTACACCTCGAGATACTCAGCTGTCCTCTGCAGAGGTGGACAGAGGGGTGAGAAACTGCCTCAGTTGGTGAAGCACCGGCTGTGCAGTCGTGAGACCTGAGTGCTATTCCTAGCACCAGAGATGCTAAGTGGCAGCCATGATGGCATGAATCCACAATCATTGTAATGGGGGAAAAGACAGGTAGATCCTTGGGCTTACTGTGCAGGTGGCATAAATAAACTGATGAGCTCCTGGTTCCATGCAAGACCCTGCCTCAAATACAAACGTGGAAAGCAGCTAAGGAAGATACTTGACATTGACTGCTGGTCTCCATATGCAGGTTTCTACATGCCCATGTCCCACATTATCACATATATAAGTCATTATATACAAAACACACTCACCTGTACATACATGTGCACACACACATGCACACACAGCACATGTACATGCACACACACACACACACACACACACACACACACACACACACACACGGGTGCACTTGAAGTGGGCAAGGCAGGATGTAAGAGCCTGGATGGCAATTGAAGGTAGGGTTTGCCATATGGATTGATGAGATGTAAAGGACCCATACAAGTCATTCCTATAAAACATGGGATGATGATCTGAAATAATTTACCTCTTGATAATGACCCTGTATACCTTGCTTAATGCTCAAGGCATTGTACCTTAGCAGACAAAGCACCCCCAGTGACTCCCCCACCCTCTACTTTTCTCTGTAGGACACAAACACTTTCTCTGCTTAGAGTAGTATTTCTCAACTTTCTTGTAGTTGGAGGCTGTTTGTTTGTTTCCTGGCCACTCACTCAGACCTGAAATAAATACACAGAAACTATATTAATTATAATACTGTTTGACCAATAGCTTAAAAGTATTTCTGGCAAACTCATATCTTAAATAAACCCATTTTTATTATTTTATATTTTACCATGAGGCTCAAGATTTGCCAGCAAGGTTCTGATGGGTTTCCTGCAGTGTCTACATGGCTTCCCACTGATTCTACCTTCTTTCTCCCAGCATTCAGTTTAGTTTTCCCATGTAGCTCTGCTCTGCCTTACCACAGGCCAAAGCACCTTCTTTATTCATTAACTAATAAAAGCAACACATAGACAGAGGGACTTCCCACACCATTTCCCCTTTTCTGTTTAAATTAAAAGGAAAGTTTTAACTAGAGCATAGTAAAATTACATATAACAAAACAGGTGTCAAGCAAGAATTACAGTTACAATATTTATATCTACTTTATCTTTTATCATAACTAAGGAAAACTATAACTATCTGTTTTTCAACTCCATCAAAGACTCCAGAAGGTATAATATTGCCTAAGTAAACAGGAAGTGCATTGTAAGCAACTTCCAAAACTCTAGAATTGACAGAGACATCTCCCTGCATAGACAGTCACCCAAAGGTTCTGTAACATTGGGGCACCCATCTTTAGTCTACAGGCCCATAGAATCTGGCAGACTTTTCCAAAAAGCAAGAAATTTGAAGATCTCTTATGCCTTGTACTGGAAAAGTTCATCAGTTTCTTTCTTTTTTGTCCTGCAAAATGGCTGGCAGCTCTCTCATGAAGCAGTAACCCCAAGGATTATCTCACCTTCTTTAGACAACTTTAGCAGTCATTTTTCTGTGGATCCTGCATGTCCAGTTCATATAGTATAACATCAAGCAGTCCAGGCAAGAACAATTTCTTGCCCAAATGGCTAGCAAACTCCATAAGGAGCCTCTTCAATGCCCATCTTTCTCGAACTGGTGCTTGGTGCTGTCAGGAGTAGATGTGCCTCATTGTCATGGGAAGTCCTAAGTTCTTAAAACATTTTAAATTCTATATTCTGTTAGTCTTTGAAAGGTTTGAAGAATAACTATCCATCTGAAATATATCTTTGTTCATCTAGAAAACCTAATTAATATGACTACAAACTTGACTATTTTAGATGACTATCTATTAAGCTGTATTTAATTACACATTACATTTTTAAATGAGTGGCACAACACAACACATTTTTAGGGCAGAAATATACATATAACAAAATTGACCTAAAATTTGTATCAATAGATCAAGATTCATACCAATGCAAAGTATTTATCTCTACAGCATATTCCTCTTTAAATGTAAATAAACATTTATAAATAATATTTCGGAATTTGGGCGTAGTTCTCTTCAAACTACTTCCTGCTGTTTATTCGGTGAATCATTTCTAGGGTTCACAGAGACCTCTGGGTGGGGATTGTTCCATCAAACCATGTTAGACTGGAAGGAATCCACAGGTTTCCATCTTCTATGAAAACAAAAGCAGAACTTCTTTTCCAAAGCAACATAATTTAGACCCAAATTTTGAAGTCAAGATATCTTTAAAAGTATATATGTTGGTTTAACTGAGCAATCCATACAATGAAATGTCTCTCTGTACTTAGCTCATTCACAGTTAAAAAATTTAAAGAAAGCATAATAAAATACACAATCCAGACTCTGTGTATATTCCATCTTTATGTGGTTTTTATTTTTATTTTTTTTACTTTTCTAATCTGTGACTGTCTATACTCCTTTACAACTGTCTAAACTCTTTTTCTTCTCTCTTAAGCCTATGTACATTTATCCAACAGCGTGACCCATTTGGAGGTCTTTTCCATCTGAATTTTTCTTTATTGTGTGAGTATGTGCAATGACTTTTTGATCAGGAATCATGTGTGAAGTGGGCATGGCTAAGACCAAAAGTTCTGCCTGCTTACTCTGCCCAATTCAACGTGGCCAAGGCATCTTTCCTGCCTCTGAGAACCATCATTTCTGCTCCAGATCCAGGGCCATAG